AGCATCAGATATATTTCATGTATCAGGTCCGTGGTATCGTAAGATTTCGCGGATTTATTAACTCTGGAAGGTATGGTGGAAGAAACCTTTCTTCAATAGGACGGCTGAAGAGCGAAGCATTCAACGCAACTGATGTTCGGTATTCGCTTTACTGCCGCTATCGTTGTTGCATCGATTGTCTTAATCATTGGTGGGTGGTATAGTCATGGTGTATTCCACCATGCACGATGGGCCATAGTACCCCTCTACGTCTGCTTCATGCCTACAGTAGGGTCCTCTCTATTAAGGGGTACTCGACGTGTACTGGGTACTATGACCGGTGCTGCTCTTGGTATGATATGTGTAGTCGCTAATTATGATGATCGTGCTGCTGTTTTTGTGGAGGCTATGGTTATTGGATATATAGGTAAACTGGCAAGTTTATACCCCCCTATACAGTATGCTGGTAGACAGTTCATGAACACCTGGTTCGTGGTATGCCTTGATTTAACTATAGCGACTACGGATTCCAAAAAGGAGATGGTCATAGCAGCTGCATGGCGGGTTGGATTGACTACATGTGGTATACTATATTGCACGATCATTTCTGGTATGTTATTTCCCGACTTCGCATCTGACCAGATGAGACTCCGGTCTGCCCATGCGATATCAAGAGCAGGTCATGGAGTGAAGTGTGCTGTGGATCAACTTGTAGTCTCGAGAACATCGAATGAGGATAATATAGAAATAGAGGATCTCCGAGAGCAGTTTGGTAGTGATGTATTCCAGGATTTACAGACAGTTATGTCGTGCCAGAGCGATGCCGCCGCGGAGATCGCGGTCTTTGGTCGTACGATGTTGCTTTCGGATATGTCCACACGAGTCTTCAAGAATCGTGATAAACTCCATCGTTTGAGTCGGTATTCTTTGGTCCTGTATAATGCATTGGTATCGACCATGTTGCGTGTCACTGGTTGTGGATTAGAGCTATTAGATCCTGTAGTACCTCCATTAAAGGAGTTCAGTCGGGCATTGGAGGCCTCACGATTCCGTCTGGTTGAGGATATGGTCAAACCTGAGCTATTAAAGACCCATCCACCTCCGTTGGATAATATCAATCTCACCATGCAAGAGTGTGTGGATGCCTTCTTGGGTGCCCGACGAG